AGCGTATACTTCGTGGCCATTCTTACCTGTTATACGATGTCATCGTTGTTTCATACATTTCAATGCCATTCGCGACAAGCGTTCAAATTCTTTGCTAAGTATTTATGTCAATGAAACTACAAATTCTGTGTTAATTCTGTGCTTACGTTAAACACTAACATAACATAACTTTTAAAACACATTCATTAAGACTCGATTACTGTGGCATTACTTTATTGATTACGGCGTCTAACATACCGTGGATTTACTATGGCTTTTACGACATGTTTGTACCCAAAGTGATTTACATGAGCATAACCACAGTGTTGGGCACCGGGGGTATGATTCTCTCACTAATGGATAGATTCTCAAACCAAGAATACCAGATCATTAGAGGCACTGTATTCATAGCGAAAGGGCTGTGCGGTTAGAGACTCTTATCAAGTTTTATCATATATGAAAACATTATAAATTAATTATAAATTGAATGCACAAACAAATTGCAGGCATCGCCCCATTCGTGCACTTTTGCCGATACGTTCACATCTCTAACCCGATCGCCGCTCAGTTGGCATTCAAAGCAATTGTGATGATGCCGTTGATGGCGATCGTGTATGTGTCGGGTGCTGTCGTGTACATGATTAAGATACCCGAGCGATTCGCACCGGGAAGGTTTGACCTGTGGTTTCAGTCGCACCAAGTGTTTCATATGTCGTGCATAATAGCGGGTCTCATATATTTTCATAGTCTGTCATTAATAGCCGAATCCAGACTTAATTATCCCTCAAGAATATTAAAGCATAAGTGAATTACTGTATGAATAAAATACTGTTTTCGCAACGAAATTGCTTTCCTATTCCCCACTTATTGTATTCTCTCTCCTCTATTCATATCTTTGTGTTTGTAATAAAATATTCTGTATTTCGTAAAAACATATTAATTATATTTTTATAGATTTTAAAAATAAGTTTGCGATGAGAACTGAAAAACACATTAAATACCGCATATTTTAATTTCGTTTTTTTGTTGCTTCACTTTCATAATGAAAGTTTCATTTGTTATGAAATATCAAAAAATATTATATAGAAAATACTGTATAATAAAAGCCATCTCTAAGTCTCGCGTTTCATAAATTATAAAAAATACTGTAAATTCAAACAAAAAATATAAAAATAAAAACTATTTTCCGTTTTTTTTGTTGAGAGAAATTCTCTACAAAAGTGAAGAAATAGGAGAGAAAATCGATATTAAATTAGAAAAATAGACCATAAAAACAGACACTATATCCTAATTGAATGTCACTAATTAGATTCGATGCCATTCCTCGATGGTATGGCGACAACAGGTATATCCTGACCGGTTATAGAGCGCCCAACCCGTCGGTCCTCTACTGTATTCGCAGTATATTTAGGTTACATAACGAGACCGGAAATATATGGACGCATCTGATCGGAGCCCTACTCTTCGCCTTTCAATGGTATCACACAATACACTGTAACCGACACGTCAGCATCAGATTCAACGATACACTAGTAATCAATTGTCTCTTTGGTTTTTGCGTTAATTGTCTGATAATGTCGACACTGTTTCACACATTTCACTGCCATTCCAGAGGTGTTGTCAAATTGACGGCAAAGTATTTCATATTTATTGTCATTTCTTTTAGACGCAATTGATTTAATATAATTATCTGTAGACTTGATTATCTGGGCATCTCTTTGGTCATAAATATGGCACAACTTTCGTGGCTTTACTATGGCTTTTATGAGAACTTAGTCGCCCGACGGGTCTATATATTGATTACAGTAATGATTGGCATTCTCTTGATTATAGTCACTCTTTGCGACCGATTTGGCGAATCCGAGTTCAGACAATATCGAGCCATGATATTTGTTGCCAAAGGATTTTATGGTAACTTTTGCCATTAAAACAAATGTGTCTCTAGTATGCAATTTAAAAACGCTTTAATTCAAATGCCAATAGTTATGATACCATTCTTCCACTTCTGCTACCATTCCTACTATTTTGAGCCACTTTTGGCCCAAATGGCGTTCAAATCGCTTTACATGACACTGTTGTCGGGATGTATTAACCTGTCGGGAGCTCTGCTCTACATATACCGGTTCCCGGAGCGACTCAAACCCGGTTTGTTTGACTATTGGTTTCAATCGCACCAAATATTTCATATAATGAACGCATTCGCGGCACTCATTCACATCCATAGTATCAAACTTTTCTCTGAAGTCCGCAGTATTTACTCAATGAAGAAAACTTCAAATATTTATTTAACTATACGTTAAGTTTATATAAATATGTAATCTTTTGGCCGTTTATTGCTTATGTACTTAATTCGCAAATATTTACAAATAAATTATAATTAAATACAGAAATTTTTATTATAAAATTAAGTTTTTTCTTGCGTTATGTTTTACAGTACATTCAAAATAGAAACATGTTTAACAGATTAGCAATAAATAAATGCAATAAAAAGTGAAAATTAAATGAAAGTAAATATTGCAATAACTTATTGGCAATAAATCACTGATCGCTGGCAACCAATGAAATATAATTTATATTAGATTTAATTAAACAAGATTTAAGAGCAATTAATTGCCTAATTGTCAAATCAGAGAACTCGACGACTGCCAGAAGTGCCGCCGCAATAATTACATACATGTCGGTTGAAATCCATGGACTGATTGCCCCGTTGTTTGTGCTTATGCTCGAAGAGTTGATGGCATCGTTCGCATTGGTGTTGATGCCAATACCGCACGTTATCCATAGGCATGAGTTCGTGTGAGTGCGAGAGTGGCCCCCAATCGTCCGCCCGACCCAACGGACGCACACAAGAGTGTCGGGACAGCGACTCAACCGATGGCCAACTCTTGGCCCGACTATCACTCGATTGTTTCACGCGTTTGGCACTAGTCTTGCCTTCACTCCAATCAGACTTCTGATAATTAATCAAAAAAAAGTTTAATTTATTTTTCATTAAAATTTTTTTACATTATTTTTAATTAAAAAATATATACTTTTCATTCAATCAAAACTTACGTCGAGTCGGCGTTTCATCTCTGATGAAGGCTTTGACTGTGAAATCAAAAGCAAACACAAAGACATAAAAAATCAATTTTTAATTAAAATTTTGAATTTATTTCAATTAAAGTTTTGAAAATTCTTTGCGTTTATATTATAATAGCGTTTGTATTACAGAAACCTTTTCATCGATGGCATCGGTTTTGACAGTAGTTTTCGGTATAATTACCACTGATTTCAAGCGTTTCGTCAATTTCTGTGACATTATATTCAGCACTGATTTAAACATCGATTGAGAAAATGAATTGTGATTTAGAAATGAAATGGAAATAATTGCCAACAAAAACACACTTTGAATCCACTTTCAAGCGTCAGATTTCAAACTCTTTGCCATTCATTTGGTCTCATATTTTGTAAACACTTTTATTTTGCTAAACAATAAATTATGAGACTTTTAATTATGCGTTGAATAACGCGTACAGTATTTAAAAACCCTTTGAAATTGTTTTGCATAACTTTAACTTAAGTGAAGTAACTTTATATCCCATAACTATTATGGCATAACATATGGTTTACCTTCACTTACAGTACATTACTCTTTGATATGCCATCGATTTGTTGCCTATTGTCTCATCTCTGGTCTGTCTATACATTTAATCACAAGAACTGATGGCATGAATGGGTGAATCGGGTGATGAGAGAGCCCGAGGGGACAAATGATAGTGACTTTTCAATTATCGTCAAATGAATGGCAATTTTGTCAAATCAGATCACATTAAGACAGGTTTTCGTCTGTTTTTAACAGTAAATAATTTTTGAGACACTCATTGAACACGTATTTGAATTGTAATATTAAATATGACTTTAATTTGAAACTAAATACAAATCAAATTGTTTTTATAACAAAGAGTTAAATATTAACATAAACTTATAAATCGATTGCTATATTAGTTTTTAATTCTTGTGAATCGTATGAAATGTCTTACGATTTATATGACAAATAAAAAGTGTCAAAAAAATCCGTCGCTTTTAACAAATCATTACTTTTCTCAAAAAATATAAATCTTTTGTCTGGGGATTAAAATTCAACCCAAAATTGAAAGACAATTAAATGTTAAGAATTTTTTTGTACAAATAATCCCTTCGTTTACAGCATTTATATAATTATAACATATTTTTTATAATGAATAGTATTCTGAATATATATTTATATATTAATATCAATAAGATTTGTGCCGAAAATACAAAAGCGGAGCACAAAAACAAACAAAAGTTTCATTTCGTTTTGTATTCACTCTTCTTTGGAAGTACTGCACGTGTCGTCACTTTTGGTCGACTTCTTGGTCTCATCGGGATATAACTCTTTGATGGGAACCAAACTCAATAGCATTATATGCCTCTCATATGCCTTTGTTTTCCTGAACTGAGAATCCGTTCCGTGAAGTCTATCCAAAACACCCAAAACGCCAAAGTTTTGATTAAATCTGTGTTTGAAAAACAAAACCAATAAATAAATAGTTGATAATTGAATTGACTTCTTCTCTAAACGTGAACTCACTTCAAGTGGTGGTAATCGTGCGCTTCGGGCGATGGGAAGAATGGGAAGTGAAAGCCGGAGTGAGCGTTGAGTGTCGACAGTGTGGCTAATGTAAACCACAGCCAAGCGGTGGCCGTATGCGAGCCCAACACCAACGGACCTAACAATTGTATAATAGAAAAAGACATTAAAAAGTAAATCATTTCGTCGGAATAAGTGTTATACCGAGAAATGGGGGCAAAAGATTGCTGAAGATGTGCTCAATGGGGTGACAGTAAATGGCAGTGATAGCGATAGGTGTCTGCCATTCGTGGTGTTGTTTGTGAATGTATTTATAGAGACGCGGATTGTGTAGCAATCGATGGGAATAATAGAAACCCAACTCTTCGATGAGAATGCAAAGACTCAGCTCAAGAATAACCCATTGAAATGTCGGCAGTTTTCCCCAATCATAGCCCCGCCAACGCATCAGATAGTGACCCATCAAAGTGAATGGTATGCCAATCAAGAACTGGTTTATCAACACTTGCCGTAAAACGCCGTATATCTGACTCCGAGACACCTTTTGTTGGCATTAAATAATATAAATATTAATTCATTTCAAAATTGTGTCTTAAAAAGTTAGAGATCAGTTCAGTGTGACTGTTAAGTGACAGTATCACTGGTTTTAATGGTAAATGACTTAAACAATGGGCAAAATTACTGGATATGCAGTGTTGTTGGGCTCCTGTATCTTATATTTGAGCAAAAAGGCTGGCCTTCCGGTCAAATCGATGAGTGTATAACACATGCCGACAATCCAATAGACAGTGAATGTGGCGATGAATGAGCCGAAGAAACCGACATTGAATTCATTGTGTCCGCAAACGTCAAGCACTTTCTCCCACTGGCTCTGCCAGAAATCGCCGGAAGCGCCCCAAAAGCGTTGCAAATACCTGTGTATCGGAACAAAATGAGAATGGTCAGTTCAAAGTTTGTCATCAAAATTATGGTAAAAATAAGTGCATTTTTAAGGGACAATAATTTATGCCAGATGATTATCATCGTATTGGGGAGTAAAGCAACAACAAAAAAGTGATGGTAAAAGTATATGTATTTGAATACCAGGTGAGTGTATTGCGAAATGCTATGAATGAGATGATAGAAGTGCTTAGGATTACGATAAAGGTTTTGATCGAAGACAAGAGTTGCGCTCTTCTAGTGCTCAGCTCTTCGGACGCCACCGAAGAGCGGGTGACAGCGGAGGGACTGTCGGGTGACTTCATTGTCAGCACCTGAAGTATGCGACCAAACATTTTCAACGTTAATTCAATTATTCATATGTTTCGTACACTTATTCTTATAACTAGTTATTATAACTTATACTAATCACACGTAAAAGATATTATCGGTATAACGGCTTATATACGCTATAATAATGTTAAATATTATATAATTTATTGATGTAATTCATTAGCAAAACACATGCAATAGTGTTGTTTAGTATATTCAGGTCAATAGCGAATGAAAAGGAAATCGTTTGGCGTTTGAAAAACAAAATTATATCAACAAAATAATGGCTTTTTTCATCATCGAGATTGAGCTGTGAATATTCGGGTAAATACAGGTATCACATCATTACTGACTTATTAGGCACTAAAAAATGGTTACAAATACTTTAGAGGTTATGATATCTAAAATAGTCCTGTTTTTACAAAGACCAATACCGGGGTCATTGAATCTCACTTTTCAAGTTTCTCTTTCAATTCTCTCTCTCTCTCTCTCTCTCATCACCCGATTCACCCATTCATACTTCAGGTGCTGACAATGAAGTCACCCGACAGTCCCTCCGCTGTCACCCGCTCTTCGGTGGCGTCCGAAGAGCTGAGCACTAGAAGAGCGCAACTCTCGTCAATAATTATTTTTCGTTTACAAACTATGGCTTTTCCCTCTCATATCGATTATTCTCATACTTAAACTCATATTTTATACGATAATAATATATTTTAATGATTAGAAAATTTATATTTATAGTCTTATTGCATGTCTTTATAAATAAAAGTCTAGAAATATACGCAAATATCAGTCAATATAGTAATCATTAATATACAGAATATAATGGATCACTTGTTATATCGATGAGTACCTTATATAATATAAGTTATATTGTACTCATTTGTATGTTATATACATTTTTTTGCCTTTAAATTCAATAAACAGTGAAAAGATTTTGCGGAAAGAAAACAAAAAATTGAAGGTTTGTTTGAGGAAAACATTTTGTGTGAATGTGTTTTGGGAATTAAAACGTCCAAAAAATTAATTATAAAAGACTGAAATGAATAAAACATTAGCCGTGAATGCAGTGCCAAATGAAAGTCAAACTAAACATTTTCACAATCGATATATTAATTTAAAAATTCAATTACATTTACAATTCTAAGGATTAGTTATAATTTGATTTATATTAATGAAAATTAGTATTCAAACAGTAATAAAATTACGGTTAAATTAATGCACTATACATAAGGGATAGTAATTAACGATAATATTTCGTAAATTATATAATTATAATTCATATCATATAAGGCTTTGAAAATAGAGATTTGAAAAATGTTTACTTCAAGTCATAACTAAGGATTTGAAACGAAAGACACAGAATTCAAATGAGAGCTTAGTTTTCAAATGCATATAAAACAGAATATTCAATACAAACGTGTCTTAAAATATAATAATTGAATTGAAGTTTCGAAACTAAAAATCAATACTAAATTCAGTGATGAATCTTGTTTGGCTTTAAACTTGTCTTATAAATGGATTATTGAAATGTAAGTCATTATTTGAAATACAAATAGAAGCAAAACATTAAACATGTAAAAAACATATAAAATAATAATAGCAATTTTTATATCCAAAGTACTTACACAGACATAAATGATATAAATCACAAAAAGCTCTTTCCTTTTGCAAACAGATTAAAAAAATAAGATATTTATAGCAAATATAGTATAAAATTTCATAACAAATTGCAGTAACAAAACAAAGTTATATGTGTTCACAGAATTTCACGTACAATACAATACAATACAGTCTACTATACTGTATGTGATGTTTCAAAAAATCTAATTATATTTTTCTATAAAACTCATAAATAATATTAAAATACGCGTAAAAAGTATTTTTGAAATTCAATACAATCATAATCACAGGCGAAGAGAAACTAAATTAAACACAGATTCAGGACTCGCATTGTCTCTCATTATAAGTGCACTGTTTTTCAGGCATAGTTTACAGTTGGATATTAACACAAAATAGTGGTAAGTTTTGTGTTTGGCATAACAATGTATACAATTTGTGGCATAAAAAAATATACACTTTTATACACTATTCTCTCATTTTTATGATGCAAACTGTCGGCGAATAATACTAACAATGAGTTTGAGTTAAATTGAGTTTTTATTTCGATGAATATTATTGATCACAAGAATATTCTTAACTTATTTTAAGGCATGTGTCACGCGATTCTCACCACAACCAAAATACATACATTTCAGGCATTTAGACAATAATTGATTCAACTGGACATTCGGCACAACATATGTGTATCAAAAGTATAATAAATCGTTTATAAAAAAGTTATATTTTATTTACAATACATTAAGTAGTAAATGAATTGATGGAAAAAATATAAATCAATATTAGATCACAGCCATCATGAGGAAGGATTTGATCACATATACTATACAATAGCCATTAAATAAAGTGTACAGTAAAAAGTAGAGTACTATACTGTATATTAATATCAAATGAATTTAATTTGTCAGTAAAAATGAGGATTTAGTTTAGTTTAAATACACACAAAACATCTGCATTTTTTAAAATAACATTTTCATATTTGATATTCTGTAGGAAAAGTAGAGTATTTTTATTTATTGCATTCACTGTTTCACATATAAATTACAATACACTCTCTGTATAGTGAATCAAATACACAATAATATAATGTATAGATTCTGGTAAAAGTAATGTGTTTGAAATTCTGGTCATATTCTGTATACAGACTAATGCATTGAATTGTAAATCAAAATGAATGCAGAAATGGATAGATTTTTTTGGGTATTAGAAAAACAAAACTCACGTTTCGTTGATAGGAAAGGATGTGTAGTTATAATGAGATTGAATCGCANGATAGGAAAGGATGTGTAGTTATAATGAGATTGAATCGCATTCAAAGTCATTAAAATTGTTTCGTTTGAAAAACTCATTTCGTTTGTTTCTCTCGTACAACAAAAACCACAGCAAAAGCAAACAAAACCAAAAAAAATATTCAATTTAAAAAACTCTACGAGAATTGAGACATTAAACGAGTTATGTTTCACAAGTTATAACACATTTCTGACAATTTTTACATATTTTCAATGGAATTCGCGTTTAATGTATAGTTTTCTTTTGAAACCAAGTGTTATATTAATGTAAAAATTAATGGTTTTGTTGAATATACGAGTCCTTTGTGTGTTTTGTGACAAATATTTTGTTGACTTATAAGTTATAACAACACACAGAATAATCACAATAATAATAATTGTCTATTCACTAGATTAACATTTATTTTAAGCAATAATTATAATAAATATTCTCATAAATAATAGCTTGTAATCCTTTTAAAATGCAAATTCACATCATATGCATAGAAAATAGCGTAAATTATTTTAATTAAAACTAATAACTGACAAAAAAAGTAATATTAAACGCAACTGATCTGCCATTCAAATGAGGAAAACAGAGACAAACATTGCTTTTTATAGATTACAAAATTTAATAACTTTTAATTTTTTAATATAAAAAACGTCACGTAAAA